TTACTTACTACTACTCTCTCTACTACCTACCTACCTACTCTCTCTCTTCTTACCTCTCTCTCCTCCCTCTCTCTCTCTCTCTCTCTCTCTACTACTACCCCTCTCTCGTCGTTCCTACCTCCTCTCTCTCTCCTCCCCCCCCCCCCCCCCTTACTGAATATCTTGGTGATGGGCTTAATCTATGGCAGACATTTTGATGACATTCCTGCAACATTAAATAATATGCGTTAACAATTGGTAGAGAGAGGGGATGGGACAATCACGGGAGAGAGAGAGTGGCGTTGGGAAACACACAAAGAGAGGTTGGTTGGGGAAACATAAGGAGAGAGAGGGGATGGAAAACACAGAGAGAGATAGAGAGAGTTGGTTAGAAAACACAGGGATAGGTAGAGAGGGGTTGAGGCGAGAGACCTAGAGAGAGAAAGTGGGAAAAATACAAAGAGAGAGAGAAGTGGTTTAAGAGAATCTCAAAGAAGAGAGAGAAAGAGAGAAATTTGGAGAGAATATATCACCTAAAGAGGTGAAGGGTTTATAATGAACGTGTCTTTTTAATATTTGTCAAGGCGAAAGAAATAATTAAAAGTGAATAGAGTTAGGCGGAGGTTAGGAGATATATTTTGAATCCTTGGGTCTGTTGCGATATGAAATCCAAAAATAGGGGGTATCGGGGATATTTCTCCTTATTTATAACCATGCGATGTGAAATATGATAGCTCGGGTGTCTTACAAAGTTCGAGAAAGTTTCGTTTGAACTTTGAGCGTGATTAATGGAAAAATGCAGCCACCTAATTTCGTATTTAATGGTCAAGATTGATTGTGACCACCTTATACCAAAAGTAAATGGCCTCATTCTATAGCTTTTCAAAAAAGCAAAGTGAAGATCGAGATTATCTACAAATAAACCGTTTATCTTTTTACATGGAAGTCACAATCCTTAAATTCCAAAATGAGTGATTATAAGAGTGTCATTGAATAGACACAAATTTCTCAAAAAAAGAAATTTTCATACTTCGTGATTCACTCCAAGCCATCTCATTTGACATCAAATGAGTGGGAATGATTGTGACATCCATGTGCAAATGATAAATAGTGTCTTTGTGATGATCCTCCACAAATTTACAAAATCATTGATGGGCCAAATGCCACATTTAAAAGTTTATTTCTACCTAACTGTAGGATTAGCAACCTTAACAAGTTAGGTGTATTCCATAATCTTATTCATCTCAAACAAGCAGTGTACTCCTCTTATTTGATTTGGGGCTCTAAAAATATTAAAATGCCCTTAATCATTTATCATTTCCAACCATGATTGAATATTTTTTTAGGAGGTAGTGAAATAAAGTTTTAAAACAAACCTTCTAATTTTAAGAAAAAAAATACAAAGAGACCATTTACTTTTTATACAAGGAGATCACAATCACTTTTGTCCCTTGGATTTCAAATTTGGTGGTTCTAAGAGTGTCATTAAAAGGATTCAAAGTTCAAAAAAAAAGTTTCGAACTTCATGACTAGCCCAAGCCATCCAATTTGATATCTAATGAGTACGAGTGATTATGACCTCCTTGTAACAATGATAAATAGTCTCATTGTATGTAATCATTAATTTTTTAGCAATGATCCAATGCAACGGTTCTATCATATTATAATGCAACAACACTTCTAGAAAACCATGTTTGTGTTATTTGTATGACCTCAAATTATGCACACACGCTCTCTTCATCTCAATAATCAATCCCCCCAAAACAAAAGTTCAATTTAAATCCTAGATATGGTCAAAATGAGTCCCCTCTAATAATGAATCTAGACCATTCATTTTGTGAATTTCAAGATCTTAGCCTTTATAAACTCAAACTCATTTTTTTCTTTTTTAACATTGTTCATCTAATGATAATAAATTCAAGCATCTCACCAAAATGAACGTCCTATGTTAATTGGGCTAAACAAATACTTTCTAGGTTATGTTTTCAATTTTTTATTTTTTTGTGATTGTTCATTAGAATGAAAAGAGTGTATATTTCAAAATTTGGATCAAACAAATGTCCATAAGATAGTTTTTTAAGGTTGTTGGATCATATTACTATACAACGGTTGCATGAAATCATTGCTCTTAATTTTAATTAGGATGTTTTGGCCCTCTTGATAATCTTGTAATGGGTTATAACCAATAGTTTTTTTTTTTCCTTATTCTTTTGTTTAATAGCTAACTAGATTTTTTTTTCTTCCTTTTTTTTTTTTATTGTTATCAATGTCTGCTATGATCTTTGTATGAAAATATTCAAAAAGGGCATTTAAGAAAAAAATTATATATTTTTTGTTATAAAAATATTAAAAAAGGGGTTGAAACCAATGATGGCTATGATCTTTGTATGAAAATATTCACAAAGGGGATTTAAGAAAAATCTTATATATGTTTTGTTATGAAAATATTAAAGTTGAAACCCCTTACAATATCATTAAAAGGGTCAAAAGATTGTAAATTACAGTTGAAGCATACTTTTAAATTTTTATATCAATTAGGTACATCCTCAAACTTGTTGAAAATTTCCAAATCATCCCTATCCAGTGTTAGGAAGCTGGAGTTAGGGATACTTCGATACTTTTACTACGAAAGAGGGGTACTTATGACCTCTTTTGAGAGTAAAATTATCAAAGTACCTTCGATAATTTTACTATGAAAGAGGGATACTTAATACCTCTTTTGAGAGTAAAATTATCAATGCCTCAATTGTAGTTTGTAAGGGCAATTTAGATATTATTTAACATTTTTTTTGAGGATATATCTGATTGATTTAAAAATTTAAAAGCACACCTCAATTGTAGTGTGTAATCTTTTAACACCTTTAGTGATATTGTTAGGGGTTTCAACCTATTTTTTGATATTTTCCCTTTTTTGTTATTTAAAATTGATCCAGAATATTTTTTGTTTTACACTTAAGTCTCATTTTTTAGGAATTTTTCTCAAATTACCTGCAATCAAGACATCCCATGTCCAAACTAGGGTCTTTTCCAATATAAAAACTAGTCTTCAACTCAAAAAAAAA